CTAAGTCAGCAGCAAAAATGAAATTTGTTAATGTCATCAGCATTTCAGGAACAAAGACAGTAACTTTGCTACTTAGTTTGAGACTGTGACCAGTAGCCTCTGCTCCTGACCTCTGGTAATATGGTTAGCATAACTAACGCTGTTTTGTAAGGCAAACAGCCATTCTCTGAGACCGAGCTGGTCACGTATTAGTCCCTTTTCCCCTCATTATCAGGCCCTGAAGGTCCTGCACACCAAGTAGACGAAACAAACAGATTTCTTCTTCCCCTCCCTATTGTCCTCAAGGTTCTTGGGCACCAGGCCGCCTACTCCCCTCCTTACCGGCCTTGAAGGTCCCAGGCACCCCGCCAACCAGGTGGTGATGACCCCGTCACAGAACAGGGAAGTGTAACAGCACACAGAGCACTGTATATAAAATCAAGCAGTTACAAGTCCTAAGTGGGAACTTGGACCACAACTGCTGCTGGACAGTGAGACCCGTGATCCTCCAGTGGCCAGGGACACCTCCACCGTCGTCTGCTTCCTCCAGAGACTGAGTGAATGACTTGTATTCTTTTATGTGTTTTTCGAGTCTAGATTATGATTTTTATATCGATATGCAAGCCAAGTATTAAGATTTGACCCGATCTACAGAGGGTCCAGGTGATTAGAAACCATAAGCTAAGCTGTGCTATAAAATTCCGTGCTCCACTACTTATAAAATTGTACTACACTGATTCTGCTTGTAGAAATCCTGTGCTATTCTGATCATTAATTCTACACTATGCTAATCATAAAATCCTGTTAAAAAAAAAAAAGCTTTAATTGTAACTACAACTTAGTGCCATCATCATTCTGCCAAGGATCCCCAAAAGAACCTGTCTGTCTCTGTCTTGGATGACAGAGACACAACATGTTTTAACAGCACATGTAAGTTATATTACGTTGTCCTTTAATTATATTAGACTTTCTAGTTTTCTCTACTGTCTTTCTTTAAAAACTTCCCAAAAGTCATGCTTTAGTAACTCAGGATTAAGGCAGAAAACAGGATTCTGAAAAATAATAACAAACATGTTCACATCTCTACTTTGCACAGACAGAAGGATGGGGAAATTTGCAGTATACTGCTACAGATGTCAAATAACCAATATGTTAGCACATGCTATACCTCAAAAGCTACATCTATGTTACTATGCAAAACAGAGTAAACCCTCTGGGCCAGGTATCAGTGTCTTGGTAGAGCCACATCATGTAACGTAGCCTGGCCCTACTCCATATCCCTAACACACAGTTGATCTTTTCTTCTCTGCATAACTTTTAGTTCAAAGTGTCTGAAATAATGTTTGTTGTGCTACATCCCATCAGAGCAGATTTTTTTAACACTGAAGTAAGGGATGGAAGTAATTAGGGCTGTCTGAAGGTGCAAAACATGCTGAAATAGTGTTAGAGGTCTGTGTAGCAGGAAGGGATTCAAATCTCATACAATTTTTCCACTTGCTTCCACCAAGCAGTCCTTGGTGCATACTATCCCCCAAGACCTGCCAGGGTGCCGCTTTGGGGAATAGAGGTTGGCACGTGCCAAAGCCACGCTGGAGAACATGCTGGCTGTTAACATGTGTGGATGACCTGTGGTCCAGCACTCAAAAGTTGCTCCCTGCCCCCATTTTATTGACTAAGATAATGTAACTGACATTTGCTTGCCATGAAATATTGAAGTGCAACATAAAGCAACGCAAAGGACTCATGGAACTACAAGCGAGGCAGGTCATGTCACTGCTTGTTACTGCTCTTCCTGATGTACCTTTTTGGTAATGACTTCTTTTGTCCTGTCTCCGTGGCCTTTGGCTGCCTGCTGCTCCTGCTGAGGTGGGGAAGAGCTGGAAGGGACGAAGTAGCTGGGGGAGGCCTGCTCTGTAAACTGGCTCTTGCTCAGGTCCCCTTCTGGCTGGATGACTATCTTCAGGCGTCTGCCACCGATTTCCAAGACATGATCCGTGCGGGATTCCACACTCTTCTTATCTGCAGTAATTTGGGGACAGGAAGATAAGGCTGATAAAGTTACCTGAAAACTTGATGGCTACAAGTGGCCACAGAGATCACCTGCCCTTTGCCCGCCCATGCACCGCCCAGGGGCACAAGATGGTGCCCTCGGCGGCCATTTCCCGCCCCCTCAAACGACTGCGGGACCTGAGTGCGAACAGCCCCCCCGGGGCGGCTGGGGCTCA